GTGTGCAAGCAAAGCAACCTCGTAAGCCTCACAAACCTGCGAAGGAGAGACACCTGGCACCACTAGATCTCATACATTCAGATCTCCGTGAGATGAATGGTGTGTTGACTAAAGGTGGAAAGAAATACTTCATGACTTTGATTGATGATTCCACTAGATTCTGTTATGTGTATTCGTTAAATACAAAGGACGAGGCTCTACACCACTTTAAAATCTATAAGGCTGAAGTTGAGAACCAACTTGAGAAGAAAATAAAACGAGCCCGGTCTGATCGTGGTGGAGAGTACTTTTCTAGTGAGTTCGATTTATTCTGTGCGAAACATGGTATCATTCATGAGAGGACGCCTCCCTACTCACCCCAGTCAAATGGGGTTGCCGAATGGAAAAATTGTACTCTAACAAATTTGGCTAACGCCATGTTAGATACATCAGGTTTATCCAAGGCATGGTGTGGGGAGGCTATATTGACATGATGTCATGTCCTGAATAAAGTCCTGCAAAGGACAATGAGACTACTCCCTATGAGCAATGGGAAAAGAAAAGAACTACACTCTCTTACTTACGCACTTGGGGCTGTTTGGCGAAAGTCAATGCGCCGATCCCCCAAAAGCACAAGCTTGGACCAAAGACCATGGACTGCGTTAATTTGGGCTACGCTAAGAATAGCGTTGGCTATAGATTTCTAGTAGTGAAATCTGAGGTACCTGACCAGAAGGTCGGTACAATTATAGTCTAAGGATGCTACATTCTTTGAGGATATTTTCCCCATGAGAGATATGCAAATCACTTCTAGACTGGAATCTGATGAGACTCCTGAACCTGCCATTCCGATGGAATATTATGAACACAAAAGTGATGAAAGTTCCACTGAGGATGACGAGGAAGCTCCTATTAGGAGCGAGAGACAAAGGACTGAAAAGTCTTTTGGTGATGATTTCCTCGTGTACCTGGTGGATGATGACACTCCCAGTTCCATTTCAGAAGCTTATGCATCTCCGGATGCTGACTACTGGAAGGATGCGGTCCGTAGCGAGATGGATTTCATCATGGCTCACGGAACATGGGAGATCACTGATCGTCCTTATGGTTGCCAACCACTGGGATGTAAGTGGGTGTTCAAGAAGAAGCTTAGGCCTGATGGTACTGTTGAGAAGTACAAGGCTAGGCTTGTGGCCAAGAGTTATACCCAAAAGAAAGAAGTGGATTTCTTCAATACTTACTCACATGTGGCTAGACTGACAACCATTCAAGTGTTACTCGCTTTGGCTGCCTTGCATGGTCTTCTCGTTCATCAGATGGACATTAAGACAACTTTCCTTAACGGAGAGCTAGACGAGGAAATTTACATGCAATAACTAGATGGCTCTATAGTAAATGGTTAGGAAAGAAAGGTGTGCAAGCTAGTGAAATCTTTGTATGGCCTGAAACAAGCGCCTAAACAATGGCACGAGAAGTTTAATACAACTTTGACATCTGTTGGATTTGTTGTTAACAAAGCTGACAAATGTGTATACTATCGCTATGGTGGGGGAGAAGGAGTTATACCGTGTATGTATGTCGATGACATACCGATATTTGGGACCCACCTCAAACTAATTGAGGAGGTAAGGCCTTTTTATCTCATAACTTTGAGATGAAAGACCTGGATGTGGATGATGTTATCTTGAACATAATGCTACTTAGAGACACTAAGGGTGAAATTACACTTTTGCAATCCCACTATGTTGAGAAGATTTTGAGTCATTTTGGATATTCAGACTGCAAACCTTCTGCAACACCATATGATCCTAGCGTGCGGATTCGAATGTTTGAAGGCACGGTTGTAGATCAATTGAGATATTCTCAAGTGGTTGGTTCACTGATGTACCTAGTTTGTGCTATTCGTCCTGACATCTCATTTGTTGTGTGCAAACTGAGCCGGTTTGTTTCCAATCCAGGAGATGTGCACTTGCATGCCATTGAACGAGTCATGCGTTATTTGCAAGGTACTGTGAGCTATGGAATTCACTATTCTGGGTACCTGACGGTACTTGAGGGGTATAGTGATTCGAATTGGATATCTGATGCTGATGAGATGAAAGCCATAAGTGGATATATCTTCACACTTGGTGGAGGTGCTGTTTCTTGGAAGTCTTGCAAGCAGGCAATCTTAACGAGATCGACTATGGAAGTAGAACTCACAGCATTAGACACATCATGCGTTGAAGCAGAATGGCTTCAAGAGCTTTTGATGGATTTGCCAGTGGTTGATAAACCAGTCCTGAGTGTCCTTATGAACTGTGACAATCAAATGGTGATTGCCAAGGCTAAGAGTTCAAAGGATAACATGAAATGCACAAAGCACATAAGAAGAAGATTAAAATATGTCAAAAATCAAGAAACTCCGAAGTTGTAGCGTTGGATTATATCCAGACTGCTAAAAATCTGGCAGACCCTTTTACGAAAGGGCTGTCACGTACTGTGATAAAAAATGCATCAAGGAAGATGGGCATGAGACCCATGTAAGTTGCCATGGGGTAACCCAACCTATGTGATCGGAGATCCCGTGAATCAGGACCTTGGAAAACAATCCAGCGGTCAAGTTAGGAGAATATCCTTAATTAACCTACTCCGTTGGAGATGCAATAATACTCTCAATTCTGTAAGGCAGGCCAACTTTTGTGTTAATGTGTTCCAAAGCTTGTGTAAGTAAGATGCTTACCTAGAGAGTATTCTTTGGAGAAACACACCTATGTGAGCCCGACTGCTGGTCAAAGTCTATGAGATTGGGTAATCTTTAGGAAGCTCATGAGAAGGTACATGGTATGACTAATAAGCTCCATCCGTGGGGTTTAGCCTTCGGCAGCCATGTATCAGCTGACAATAGGCGAGACTTCTACACGCCAAACTGACAATTCAAGGCATAGTCCATTATTCAGTTGTGAAGAACTCTAATCCTATTGCTCTAGGTGGAAGTTCAACTTAATAGTCCCCACTTACAATTCTGATATATCAAACATTGTTTGGAACAATTGACAGCTTCGAGATCTCGTGGGGGATTTTTGGATTATGGATGGGCTTAGGCCCATATAAGACAATAATCCCTGGTTAATCTCTAAGCCCCATGTTATGCATGGCAAGTGGTGGGAAGTGTGGAAAGTTTAGTACCATACTGCTACAGTAAGAAGAGTGAGGCCTCTTTATAAGGGCTGCTCCACCACTTGTTATTGGGAGCTTGGGAATAGGAGTTGTACACACACGCTCCTCCTCCTCCGCCGCCCCCTCGCCTCGCCACGCCACGCCTCGCCTCCTCAGGACACGCGCGCGCCGCGGGTTGACGTTGGACCGTGGGATGTTCGCGGACTCGGTCATGGGCCTGAGCCCAGGACCATCTACCCGACGGCCTATATAAGAAGGCACTGGTCAGTGGAGTGAACCCTAACTCACTTCACTCCCTCCCTCTTGCACAACCCTAGCCGTTATCTACTGTTCCTCTCAATGTGCTGCTTCCGACGATCCCATCCCGACGACCGAGTGCACGGTTAGTCGGGAGAGTAAGTGCCTTCGGAACTCATTCGAGATCCTGCCCGGAAGAACGACAATAAGATTTTTGAGGAGCGTCTCGACGCAACCGCTCCCGATCCGTCCCCGTCTCCGTCCGCCTCTGCTTCCACTACTTCCCCTGCATCGACTCCATGGCTGACAACACTGCTGTCAAGAAGAAGGCCTCGGTCGATGCCAAGACTGCTGCTGTCGCCGCCGCGTTGGCCTAGCCAACCGGAGGGTATGACTCGTTCATCCCCTATTTGCTCGTTCATGTGATGGCTGTATATATGTTGTTTATAGATGTTTCGGTTCTATGTAATATACATGCTCACATGCTTAGGTATTGGTATAAGATGCATATCGTATTTACCATGTTTACTGTTTACTCGTGGATTAAAATAGTTAAGAAAGTGCTAATATTTCCAACACGGAGTCGTAAAAAAAATCCAGAAAGAACAAGAATAACGTGTGCGGAGGCAGGCACACACTCCATTGGATCTGCCTCGGTTGGAAGTCCGGTCCTTGCTTTCGACCATCCACGCTGGAAAATCTTTCGGCCGCATCCACGCATCCGACGAGCACCCCATCCCCGCTGGCCATGCCGCGCCCGGTCCCCGGTACGCCGACGCACCGAACGAACCAACAAGGGAGCGTTGAGAAGGAAAGCGGCCCGTTTCTTGGTTCGGCCGGAATCGATCGAAACAGACGTCGTTCTCGCCAAAGATACGGCGCTTTTACAACGCCACCAATAGGGAGCTGCGTTGAGATCGTATTTTAAGTGGGGGGCTCCGGTAGGAGGAGTATATCCACTGCGACTGCTGCCAGGTCAGGCACAGATCAGAGGTAGATTCATGGCAAAGAAAACGAAAGAAATCAGCGAGGGATTTGTTAGATTACTACCACCTTGCCAAGTTCCCCCTGTGAGCAAACCAATCTGTGATTGGATGGTTAAGAGAACCATGGTATCCCCAGTCTATCAGAGTTTAAATCTTGATGCTCGCATTTATTCCTAAATTTATTACAGGATTTTTGACGATGCGGATTCAGTGGGAAGAAATGTTCCCGTCGACGATGAAATGCTTACGATGGCTTTGTAAATTTAAAAATGATATGACGGCTCAGTCTTTCGAAGATGCTCATAGAGATAGGATGTGCGAGTGTGCGTTCATAGAGGTGAGTGTATGCGCGTGTGTATGAGTGCTTGTGTCTGACCTGATGTTAAAAAAAATTCCCCCTAGCCTGACTCCTCTCATTGGTTAAGGAAAAAAGAGGTTTAACCAATTATTATTATGCTAATTAAAGAGGGGCGGAGTGGGAGGAGCAAAAGCTGCGAGGATAAGGCCCCGCTCCCCGGTCGCATTTGTTTAATCGAATCCATCGTGTCTCCACGTGGCGACCCAACCCAACCGCCTTGGAGTAAAGAAGAGAAGACCTTTGAGATTTTAGCCCCGGCCGTCGCCTTTTTATACCCGCCCATGCTGCTTCATTGCCTGGTTCGTCGCTCTGCCGTCTCCCTCCTTCCCTCCCTTCGCCCCCGCCTGCGTCTGTTGCCTCTTCTTTCTCGACCTCTGCCTCTTCTTAATCTGCGGTAAAACTACCCTACGCACGGTCGCCTGGATATACGGTTGCTGAGCTGAACTTCCAGGAGGAAGACACACACACACACACACACAGAGAGAGAGAGAGAGAGAGAGAAGAGAATCAGTACTGGCAATGGTGTTCTACTTCAAGGCGCGGCCGGACGCCGGCGACTACACCATCTACATGGGCGCCGACAAGAACGAGAACGAGGAGCTCATCAAGTACGGCCTCCCCGAGGACGTCTGGTACGAGCATTTGCCAAACTCTAGTCTCTAGCTTCGCCTCTCTCTCTCTCTCTCTCTGTGTGTGTCGATCGATGGATATACTCATGGTAGTTCCTCCGTATATAAATATGCACGTGGGGTATAATAGTTAATCCCTAGTTAATCTTGAATAGTTTACCCTAGTTAATCATGAACAGTTTAGTACGAGTACATTTAAACTCATTACGGAGAGAGAGAGACAGACCGGCCGGCCAGCCGGCCAGAACGAGAGAGAATGCAGAGAAGCAGAGGGAGCGCGCGGATTGACTCGTGACGAGGCCATGACGAGGCTGGCAAGGACACTCCAACTACCAAACTGCGTAGAGTAGATACGACCCGAGCTGCTCGAAACATGCCGCGTGCGTGACTATCGTCCCCCAGTCTGCCATCTGCATCACACAACACGAGCGTAGCTAGGGCCAAAACACCCTGTATATATCTATCGTCTAGAGGACCTCGCCCTCGGCTCGCGCTGCAAACTGGACTACTTATTTTACTGGTTTATTATATTGCTGAAAAATAAGCAACCCTCGAGCTCAGTGGATATCGTGCTGTAGTACAACCTAGCTAGCCCGTTTATTAAGCAAAGCAACGATGATTGTACGGGATAATTATTAATCAGGGTTGCTGCATGCACGCTGGCGCACCATCTGCGCTGCAGGTTCCATGTGGACAAGGTGTCCTCGGCGCACGTCTACCTGAGGCTCAAGAAAGGCGAGTCCATAGACACCATCAGCGAAGGCCTCCTGGAGGATTGTGCGCAGCTCGTAAAAGCGCATTCCATTCAAGGTATACATGAAAGAAACTCATTGCATTGTTTATACTGCTACTGAAGATTGTGTTAGCTAGCAAGATTTTCTTGCTACCAAAAAGTTCCCTCAGAAATATGGTACCCCACAAAACATTGATATGTTCAACTATGTTTGCCATCTGAGCACGGACCTCAGAAATTAGCTCGTGCTGTGACTGTGACCGGCCGTGTCTAGTGCAAAGCTGCAGCATGCACATTGCTACTATCTCTTTCTGTGCCCATTACAGCAACTTTTTCTGGTGTATTATTGCCGGCCTCTCTATGCATGCCATGCATGGGCCCCTTTGCATTATCTGCCTTGGGTCGATAACTGGCCTATACTGTATGTGCGAGTGATTGTGATCGTCAGAACGTGACAAGTTGGGCCGATAATGGGTGCTGGCTAAATCATTCATGCATGCATGTGTTTATCGTGCAGGAAACAAGATGAACAATGTGGAGGTGGTCTACACGCCATGGTCTAACCTCAAGAAGGCGACGTCCATGGATGTCGGCCAAGTTGGCTTCCACAACCATCGGATGGTAATCAATTACCACTTCTACCCGTTTGCTAGTAGTACTACTAACGCCTCCATTGGCAGTTATTTAACAAATTTAAGAAAAAAATATGTATATAGACATATGCTTGATCGATTGTAGCGTTTCAATTAGGCTCAGTTGTTAAAGCATGTATGCAGTGGTATCAAGTTATAGAAGCATTTCGAGTAGCACGAACAATAATTGGATAAGAAACCTTTAAAAATTAACTAGATTATCTTGCGCAATAATTGCGAACATTCGATGAGAAAATAACCATTATAACGAAAGCTGCCAATTCATGACCAGTTGAAAGAAATCTGTCTTGTCTTGCGCATACCTGTAGCTGCTTAGCTGCCGGCGGTCCCAACCGTCGCCGATGCTAACTGACTCTAGCATGCTTCATTTCTTGCGTTGGCCCTTGGCTAATCATAATTTATTTATTTTGCGAGTGTTGGCTAATCATAAGTTGATTCATGTCTTTGCGACAAACAAATGTTCATATACAATCTACTGTCCGCCAACAGGTACACGTCTTGACAGTGGAGAAGCGTGTCAATGAGATCCTCAACAGGTTGAATAAGACCAGGGTCGAGCGCCGACCAGACCTCAAAGGTACATACGCATACACAAGCTAGAGATCTCCATTTCGTGTGCACGTGTAGTACACCATGCATGCATGCACGTGCAACTGGGATTTCATTCGCTAATTTGCAAATGTGTGTGTGTGTGTAGCCGAGAAAGATGCATCAAATGCAGCGGAGAAGGCCGAGCGGAAGATGCAGCTGAAAGACAAGGCACGCAACGCATGCTTGCATCATGCATGCCAGCTCGACCTTTCTAGCTAAAGCTGGTTGTAATGGGAAGTATCATATACTAGTATCGTGCATATGATACTAGTCTATGATACTACATCTCTAATGCATAGTATCATATGTTGGTATCATAGAGGACTACATTTATTGCCATACATGACACAAAATAGCACATTATTTAATATGATACGGTATCATGATATGATACTCAAGCCTCTCTTTCTTCATTTAATTCTATGACATTAAATCAAAATTGCTTAGCTCGCATGCATGATACAATCTATGATACTCTTATTACGGGCAGCCTAAATCAAAGTCTGTCATGGTGACAACCGGCTAACTTTTTTCTCTTGTGGCGTGCGCAGAAGCGCAGGGAGGAGATGGAGAGGGTGGTGAAGGAGCGGCAGGCCGAGATACGGAGCTACAAGGGCCTCATGGTCGCCGAGAAGATGACCTCCAACCGCCAGATCGCCTCCGCCGGCAAGTCCATACAGGAAATGGAGGACGAGTTCGTCTAGCAGCTAGCCTCATGCGTGTGTAGTGTATCATACATGTCCATGTGTATATATGCGGATGCGCGCATCTTGCATGCGTGTGCGAGCGTGGTCTCGACGAGGCGGGCGATGATCGATCGATCCTCGATGTTACTGACGGTGCAGGTGTACATATATAAGGTCCTTGATTTGGACAGAAATGAGAAAGCAGCTAGCGCAGAAATAAACTGTGAATTCCAAAAATTCTGATGACGACAAAGGGCGGGCATTGCGGTGCCTAAACAAAACTGATCCAGATATGGTATGCTTAGGGCCTTTTCGATTCGCAGGATTCTAAAAATATAGGAATAGAAAAAATATAGGAATGGAGGGCATATATCCTCTTAAATCTTATAGGATTAGCTAGTGTTTGATGCCATAGAAAAAACAAAAAAATTATAAAGAGAGATTGAAGTGGATGTTAGATTTTTTATGAAATGTAGTACAAAAGATTTCATAGGAAATTTCCTATGTAATCCAATTCTATGAATCAAACAACCAACGTAGGGAAATTTTCTAAGGATTTCAATCTTTCAAAAATCCTAGTAGCTTGTGCATCCAATCGATATGAGGCTGTCATTGTCGTTCGACAAACGTGTTCGGCAACACAGTAAACAGAGAGGAAATGGTGTTCCAAAAGGAAATGTGGAAGTTGGTGGCCCAATCTGGGCTCCTGCGGGAGCGGGCTTTAGGAGCTACTCTCTCCGTCCGAAAAAGTTTGTCTCAAGCTTGTTTCTCAAATGGATGTATCAAGTGCTAGATATATCTATTTGTGGGACAAAATGCTTTTTCGGACGGAGGGAGTATTTCTTTTCTATGCCTTTTCTGTGTTGGTTTTCATTGCTTTTTCGGTTTTGGGTTTTTATTTTATTTTTATTTTTACTTGATTTCCGGTGTTTGTTTTCAATGGTTTTTTGTGTCAATTTTCAACAGTTTTGTTTTTAGGTTTCGGCTTTCTTCCTTTCTTTTTCTTTTTTTTTACTTTTTTCAACACATTCCTACTTTTTTCATAACTTTCCTACTTATAAAGGTTAGAGTTGGTGGTGTGGGACCAACACCCTTCACCAATAAAAAAATGCACCCTTACCCACATGTGGGACTATCAATCTTCCAAGAGACATCAATAAATAAATGCACTTTAACTCACATGTGGATTTAAAACAAATTAACAAATACACTACTACTTTTACACTTGAAGAATGCACAAATAAAAAAAATGTGACTCTAACTCAAAATTATGCTCTTAAGTCGTGGCCTTACACCTTATAATTTAGTTTCGTAGCAACACATGGGCACGCTGCTAGTACATTGCACATTTTTAGTATACATCAGGGACATTATTTTATAAAAGATTCATATTTTTGTAAATACATGATAAATTTTATTAAATATATGTTTTAATATATATAGTTTTATACACGTTGTGCATTTTCGTACACATATGAAGCATTATTTTATACACATTTAACATTTTTCAAGTACATGTTTTTGAACATTTTTTAATACACGTTCTTCCAATTTTTGAATGAGCTGACAAAATTACGCTACACAAATTTTGTAATGTTATGAACATATTTTGAAATGTGTGGCATTTTCTGAAATGCAGCACATATATTTTGAATGGTTCAAAACATTCTTTTTGAATTACATAAGCATCTCTTTACAGTATATAGTATTTATTTATAAATGACACGTGGATTTTTTTTTAGAAACATGATAATCTTTTTTAAATATCACAAATATTTTTCTGAATGTATCAACATTTTTTTAAACTATGCCAAAAATTAATTTACACTGTGTTAATGATTTTCAAATTCACAGTTTTTAAATTTAAAGTCAATATAAGTTTTATATATGTATTCAGTATTTTCTTTAAATATGAACAAAACGAAAAAAGGGACAAATAAAAAATAAGAAGAAAAATGAACTAACCTGCAAGGAGCTACTACTTGGATATGCCCATTACTAGTGCTGCTGAAGCTTGTGTCTCACATAATAGACAAAGCTGCTCATGAGACCTGCACATAGCTTAAAGGGGGGCTGTTTGGCGCCTTACAAACGTCTGAATAGTTCCCCACCGCTCACGCTCCCCTCTGATAGGTTGGACCAAGAAGAAGGCAAACACTCGACTGGTTTCCCTGGTCGCTCGATCGCGTTTGCTCAGTCATAGTTGACTAGTTGACACAAAAAAGACTAGTTGACTGGACAACCATTGACTTTCGACAAATTACGAAAAATAACAAAAAATATGAACTAAAAATGTTCACCGATTTTTTTAAAAAATTTAAAAAGTATAACAATGTTTATAAAAAGTTATCGATTTTGAAAAAAAATCATTGAATTTGCAAAAAGTTCATCGTCTTTCAAAAAAGGTTCATCAAATTTTAAAAAATAGTTCATTGATTTTGAAAAAAAACTCATCAAACTTGACAAAGTTCATGCATTAAAAAAACAAAATAAAAATAAAGAAAGAGAAATAAATTTAATAAAAAGGAAAAATATTAAAGAAAATAAACAGAAAAAGAAAGAGGAACCAAACAAAGACCGGTCTAGCAAAAACAAAAATGAAATAATAAAAGAAACAACTGGGAAGCTTCTAGAAGCTTCTCGCAACCGGGAGAGGTGAGCTTCCTGTGGTATGTTTGGGCCGGACCATTTAGATCGAGAGGACAGAGGGGTGTGTGTGAAATAGAAGTAACGGGCACAGAAGGCGTTGTATAGAAAATGCGAGAGCTTATAGCGTCTCTTAGATCTCGTAGCGCAACAGGTGCTCGTGCGCATGGGCTGGCCCAATAAGCTTGCTAGACCGCCCACATGTGTGTTTGTTCAGCTTGATTTGTTTTTGTTGCTAGCCTTTTTTCTTTTTCTCGTGTTGTTGTGTTGTGCAAGAAAAAAACCAGCTATCGACTTTTTAAACTAAAAAATGTTCGTGATTTTGAAAAAAAAAGTAAAATCTTCATGAGTTTAAAAAAGTTTGCACATTTGTATAAAGTTCATGAAGTTGAAAAAAGTCTGAGAATTAGAATAATGCATTGAGAATGAGATAATTGTCCTATGATATTAGTGTAGCTAGCCATGATTACCTCCCCTTAAAAACTGTTATAAATAATAAATAAAATTCATGTTAGGTCCTTCATTTCTTAACAATACAAACATACTTCTGTTAGACAACTTATAACCACCACGCAGTGTTTCCAATATGTACGGTCACTGGCATGATGGTATACCATGTAAGTTAGTGTAGTTGTAAGAGTAGGAGAACATTGTTATGATTGTTTTGGCTATGTAGAAATGACATAGTTTTTATGGTAAAAATCCATCGTATGCACTCACTCCGTTCATGATCTACTCTATAAGGACCGATGCATCGTCATTGTTTATGGTAGTGCGTACACGATTGGACGAGGTGGCGACAAATGTTTTTAGCCTCGCAGGGTTGGAAACATAGTCCACGAACATGCCCTCCACACACCTTGTGTAAATCGAGTTGTGCATGGTATCGATCTAGTTTAACTTTGCTTTGGTCGTCACCTTTATCTATTCTTGTGTGTGTTAGTGTTGGTTCTTGGTTGTGTTCATCCTAGTCAAGTGAAGCCAGATGTATGCACATTATGCTTTGTATCCTCTTAATGCTACAATATGAGGTAATAAAAGTGACCATGGAAGAAAAATGAGTAACATCATAATCTCATGAGTATTAGAGAAAGTTCTAGAAACAAAAGGTACCTTATAATCTTATATTTAAGTTGCATGTGCGAGCTCTAGTAATTCGCCCTTCTATTTGTGGAGCTCAAGCATCTGTGGATGTGGGTGTAACTAGTAGGGATGTCCTGATCAAACTCTGGGATGATCTTGTGAAACACTTGGGGGAACTTCATAGGCAATACTCAGCATGCATCATCATGCCTTTATCATGCTTATTATTTATTTCATTTGAACTCTATGTTGGGTTTGAATTTGAACTTTAAAAGTAATAAATATATTTGAAATGTGTGCAATAGAGACATCAAGGTCAGAATTGGCATTGTGTGCAAATACAGTCGAAATGGGGTTTATGTATGCGAAAGGAAAGAGAGATCAATGAAAGTTTTATCGGGAGTTAAGATTATGGCAAGGACTAGTTCCCACCCCCCAAGCCACTTAAACATTGTGAGGTTAAGTTTAGGAGGTAGTGTATGGAGTTCATCTTTAGGGGAGGGCAAGAGATGTGTAATCAAACAACCCTTGCACAAGTTTCACTTGATATTATCTTTTTTTCTCAAATCATTTGTGGGAGTCGCATGTATTCATTGATATAGAAAGGAGATAGCAACACTAAAGATGGCAGCACCAACACAATGCCAAAGATGGCACAACATGAGAGCACAACACAACCTAATAAAGGATGAATGGTCTAAGGATTGTGTACACAAGCACCAATCAAGCGACTTAGGCAAAAGACTAGCAACCCAAGCAAGAACAAGTATGGACAACACACATGTAAGAAAGCACAACTATACATCAAAAGCACAACCATACATCAAAGGACCTGCATCAACTGGGAGGGATGACCACTATAGCATAAGCACAAGCCTCTCTAGGATGGCATCTGCCAATAGCCCAAAGTCACAGTTGCTTAAGAAAGGGTGTCAGGACGACCACAACATCATAACTGGCATAGGACCGAAGCAAGGAGAGCACGACCACGTAGATGTCTCATTACCAAACAGAAACCAGGTGGGGAAAGATCCACAAAAGAGAGATCAGCCTAGCAACAAGGGCAGGGCATCAATGGCTGGGGAGAGGATCGCACACGTCCAAACGACCAAAATAAGGACCATATTCATTCACATCAAGGTGAGTGAGGCGACAAAGAGGGAGGAATGCCAAAATCTTGTGGTCTGACGCTAGGATCTGGACAACGTCGACCAAGGCGGGGTGTGGCACCAGATTTGACTATGGGATGCCGAGATCTGGACGAAGACAAACGAGGGGAGTTGAGGGAA